GGTGGGGCTGGGCCACGCAGAGCCGGCCCAGCGAGCCCTCCCAACCCGCGCTGGGGAGGAGAGAAGCAGCGCCTCCTCGCTCACATCCCCGACAGCCCGAGTTCGGACGGGCCTGGTAGCCAGGGGCCTGAGAGCAGATCTCTCCGACGAGGGCTGGCCCTTGGGCAGGCGCCTTCGGCAGCGGGACCAGGCAGGCCACCATGACGGAGAACACCACGTCCGCCCCTGCGGCCAAGCCCAAGCGGGCCAAGGCCTCCAAGAAGTCCATAGATCACCCCAAGTATTCAGACATGATCGTGGCTGCCATCCAAGCCGAGAAAAACCGTGCTGGCTCCTCACGTCAGTCCATCCAGAAGTACATCAAGAGCCACTACAAGGTGGGTGAGAACGCCGACTCCCAGATCAAGTTGTCCATTAAGCGCCTGGTGACCACCGGTGTCCTCAAGCAAACCAAAGGGGTGGGTGCGTCAGGGTCCTTCCGGCTGGCCAAGAGCGACGAGCCCAAGAGGGCAGTGGCCTTCAAGAAGACCAAGAAGGAGGTCAAGAAGGTGGCCACGCCAAAGAAGGCAGCCAAGCCTAAGAAGGCTGCCTCCAAAGCACCAAGCAAAAAACCTAAAGCCACCCCGGTTAAGAAGGCCAAGAAGAAGCCGGCTGCCACGCCCAAGAAAGCCAAAAAGCCCAAGGTTGTCAAGGCCAAGCCAGTCAAAGCATCCAAGCCCAAGAAGGCCAAGCCAGTGAAGCCCAAAGCCAAGTCCAGTGCCAGGAGGGCCAGCAAGAAGAAGTGACAAGGAAGCCCTTTTTTACGGACACTCCTCTCTTACTTTCTGTAAATACTTTTTCCTTCTTTCTTGATTCCCTCCAACCTTTTGCTCCATTTATCCTGACTTTATAAGAGACAGACTTTGGATTCCTCAGAAATTGTGGAATGATTGCTTTTTCCTTCACCGGTTGTGCAAGGACAACAACAAATCTCATCTCTGTAATGATGAGGATGTACTTACATTTTTTGTTGATTTGCTATTAACCTTTCGGGGTTTGGGCGGGTTGTGTGGGGGGGTTGCTATGAAGGTAGGTGGGGAAGGAGAGGACAGGCTCAGCAGCTGCGTTTGCTCTCACTGGGTGAGAGGGGAGCCCAGGAATTGTAGGAGTGTCTTTAAGGTTTTCTTCAAGTTGGACGCCCTTCTGAGAATTTCGGAACCTTTGGCGAGGAGCGGGGTGGCATCGCCCAGTAGTGAGCAGCAGAGGTCCGAGGCCGGTTCCTTCTCACCTCGGTTAGCCTATCCTCTGGTCTCCCCTTTGTCCTAGGGAAGAGGAGGGGGGACCAAGTGACATCTGGTTGGGGAAACGAGCTTCTCCCCGTCAGGAGCCAGCCTTGGAGGGGGGCTGTCTGTGTCTTCGCTCAAGTCTCTTCTTGATGGGAGCGGAAACTTTGGGGGGAAGGGTGGGGAGTCAGCCAAGTGCCTCAGTGTGCCCTATTGAAACTTGGGTTTTTCCACACAATTTGATGGATTGTGTCTTTGGAGGACTTTTTTTTTCTCTTGCTATTTTGTTCCTCTACAAGACGTGGCTTTGCTTGGTCTGGTAGGGCTCCAGCCCCACCACCAGCTACTTAAAAACCTCCGACCTCTTTTTACTTTTGAGTCTTTTTAAAGTAGTTGTAGAGGGGGAGGGGGAGGGGCAGGAAGTGGACGGTAAGACATACTGCAGTTGATTTGGAATTTGCTACATAGTTATAGAAACTAGATCTATGTGCATGTGTGTGTATTTGGATATTTGCATACTTAGGTTTCACATCGGGAGCTGGGAGAAAAAACCTGTACAGTTGTCTTTCTCTTATTTTTAATAGGAAAATCGCGCACTTGCGCCCCTTCCCCCCCCCCGCCGCCTTTTTTAAACAAGTGTTACTTGTGCCGGGAGAAATTTGCTGTCGTTGTAATTTTAAAATTTTAAAATAAAACCCGGAAAGGAAAAAAAACGAGCAGTGTATTTTTCTCTTTTTAAGACTAGAGGAGAATTAAGATCGGGTGGGCTGAGGGGACGAGTTTGCACCTGAGAAGTGGGGGGCTGTCCGAGAGGTGAACAGAAACCTTCGAACTGAAAGATGCCTCTGTCCGCTTCTAGGCTCCCGCCTTCAGGGGCCACAGGGCACCCTCTTTTCTTCCAAGATGTGGGTGTGTGGGCAGGGGGATGGGAACGGAGTGGGCTGGGACCTGACGCGACTAGTTCCGCCTCCTCAGCTTCCCCTGTACGGACCTCTCCGTCTCCACTTAAAACACAATCGTCCTCCACCTATACCGTCAGGCCCCGCCCCTTTCAGGAGATTCCCCCTCGGCCTGCGATTGGCTGCTGGGGCCCGACCCCCAGCCACGTGACTGGTTGTCCGCTGCGCGCCAGGCGCGCTCCGATGAGGTGCTGGGATGTGGGCTGTAGGCGTCTGGCGCGCGGCGTTCGCCCGGACCCCCCGCGGTGGTCGGTCACAGTCGGCGCTGGCCCAATTGCGCAGCATCCTCGAGGGGGAGCTGGAAGGGATCCGCGGGGCTGGCACCTGGAAGAGTGAAAGGGTCATTACGTCCCGTCAGGGGCCGCGCATCCACGTGGACGGCGTCTCCGGAGGTAACTCCCCCTCCTGGGAGTGGTGGGACCTGGCTGGTGATCCAAAGGCCCTCCGGGGTTTACGCTAGAACAGAAGTCCAAGGGGTGCGGGCTGAGGCCGTACTTTTCACAGTAGCTCCTGGTGGCCTCCCCACGCCGACTAAATCTGGTCCAACCCGTTTCGAAGGAGGGAAGTGATTTACCCACGAGCGCCTTTTTGGCGCAGAGGGCAAGGCTGGACCGAAAAAGAGACTTCCAGCTGCCTCCTCCATTGCCACTTCGAGAAAGGGAGCTAGGAAGGCAGCGGCAAAAAAAAAAACCGCATTTCTTTTGTCTATTTTTTGGTGTCGGGGATGGGACTCAGGTCCTTGAGTTTACAAGGCAGGCGGCGGCACCACTGAGCTAAATACCCTGCCCTGGTTTGGTTTTTTGATATAGGGTCTCACTATGTAGCTCAGGGTGGCCTCGAATCTTCTAGCCTCACTCAAGTGCTGCTGGGATCACAGGCATTCACAGCACACCTGGCTAAACACCCGAATTTTTTGAGCAGCTGCTTTGTGAAAGCCTGTACTAATTGCTGCACGTGGACTACTGCTAACCTCTAAAAGTAGGAGGGACTAATCTCATTTACAGCCAGAGAAGCTGAAACCCTGAGATGTGAAGTGTTTTGCCCAAATCTCCCCAGCTAGCCAAGCTGTCCAATGAGCCAAAAGGTCAGCTAACTGGCCAGAGGCCAACTTAGGGCCAACGTCTTTAAGAGATCAAACTTAGGTTGGAGGACTTTTGCAAAAGTGACAGACACATTGGCCACAGCAGGTGTCCCTCTTTTCATTCTAGCCAGTGAGCACTGCTGTCCTATTTGGTGCCTAGCCCCAGGTGGGTGTTCACAGCAGACTCCCAAATAGGCATGGAATCCTTGGTGTGGATGTATTCATTTGTAAAATGGAGATCTCGGGAAATCACTGTCCTGCTGTGGGAGGCGTGGAACAGGTCCATGCCCCTAACTCCTGATGATCATCCTCACTTGTCAGAGACTGAACACCTGTCTCTGATCCAGTGCTTTTGGGCAAAGGCCTCAGAGAACCAAACAGCTGTCATATATAAGTAGAGGCCCAAAGGAAATCAGCGTTACTTGTATAATCAAAAGATGGGCAATTAGGAGGCCCAAGTTCTCAAGCTGACTTTGCCTTTCCCAGGTTGTGAACCTTCCTCTCCTTGGGCCTGTTTTCCTCTTCAGGTCAGCTGTGTTCACTGATGGCTTTCTGACTCCAGACTGAGGTCTCAGGGGCAGCCCCTCTGGGCTATGATTCTGTCCAGGCAGCAAAGTAAACGTTGGAGGACTGCAGCAGGCAGCCGACCCAGCCCTCTTCTCTCACCCTCGAGGAAACTGAGGCTGAGATGAGGGGTTGGTGATGGTCTTCAGGAACAGGAGAAGCTTTCGAGGAAGTTGTAGTAGGTTCCTTCTTGGCTAGAATGTGATTCGGTAGTGGATTTGGGCGGCGGAAAGACTGAGTTAAATCCCCAACCCCCTAGAATGTGATTCAAAGCTAAAGTTTAAGCTTCTCGGAGCACGCCTGAGATTCCAGTACTTGAGAGGCCAAACATGGGGGCTCAAGAGTTTAAGCCTAGTGGGAGATTTAGCTCAGTGGTTCTGCTGCCTGCCTGGCAAGCACAAGGACCCGAGTTTGATCCCCAGTACAAAAAATAAATAAGTAAATTGCATCCTTCAAGTTGCAATGCTGTAGAGACTCCTTTCCTCACCCTGCCTCTCCTGTGGCTGTCACATTCAGAAGCTCCTGGTGGCCCCGAACATGGCATAGGTCCCAGGCTGTATCGTCTGGGGCTGTTGTGTTTTCCAGGTTCAGTTCCTCTCTAGACCACTTCCCTTCCAGGCCCTTCCTTGCCCTGTCTGAGCTGCTGTGTCTGTCTCCTTTTTCCATCTCAGGAATCCTTAACTTCTGTGCCAACAACTACCTGGGCCTGAGCAGCCATCCTGAGGTGATCCAGGCAGGCCTGCAGGCTCTGCAGGAGTTTGGAGCCGGCCTTAGCTCTGTCCGCTTCATCTGTGGGACCCAGGTACACAGTGGGGGTTGAGTGGGTGCTGACCCCAGCTGTCTGCTTCCCACGGTCAGCTGGGCTGGCTTAGCCTGCTCAGCAAATCCCAGGGCTCAGGCTCGAGGCCCACTGTTAACCCCAGAGCTGCTGAGTGGAGAGCCTAGGTGCCTGTTTTGCTCAGACGCCTTGGACAAGAAATTTTGCCTACCTTCCATCCTTCCTTCCTCTTTCTTTCTTTCATTTTCTTTCATTTATTTATTTTGTCTTGTGACATTAGGAATTGAACTCAGGGCCTTCACACTGAACTCCAGCCCCAGCTGTTTTTTAATTTTTTGAGACAAGATCTCACTAAAATCATTACATTGCCCAGGCTAGGCTCAAACTTGCAATCCTCGTGCCTTAGTCTCCAGAGTTCTGGGATTACAAGTATGTGTCACCATGCTGGCCTAAGAAACTTTACCTTTCTGAGCATCCACTGTAAGTATCTGTTTCCCCGGCTGCAGGAAGACATACCTGTCACCTATCCTGCTGAGGGAAAAGAATAGAAGGCAGGTTTTGAGCTTGAGGGTTCTGGAGCTATTCTGCCTGGCCTTGGTTTCCAGTGCTGCTATTTATTGGCTCAGTCACCATGGGCCACTGTCTCCTCTCTAAACCTTTCATTGGTAAGGTGGGGACAATAGTATAGAGTAGGATTGTTACAAATTAAAGAGTACACTGGACATGGTGGTACATTCCTGTAATCCCAGGGGGATTGAACAGAGGGATCACAAGTTCAAGCCCAGACTGGGCAACTAAGCAACTTAATGTCTCAAAATAATAAAAAAAAGATCTGTGGATGCAGCTCAGTGCAAAGGCCCTATATTTATTCCCAATACCACAAGAGAAAAAAGAAGTTAGTACATTTAAATGCATTAAACAGTACCTGATGCACAGAAACAATAAATGTGGCTATTGTTTATTTTGTCAAGGTTTCAAAGCAAACGTAAACATGAAATTTCTATAGTATTTCCTATATGTACTCATGAATCCTCCTGCTCTACCCATGTTATTGACATGAGGGCCCCAAGGCCCAGAGAGGTTAATGACTTGTCTAAAAGCACAGTGCATCATGGTGGGATTTGAACCCAGGTAGCCTGGCTCAAGAGCCCCTTCTCCTAACTTCTGGTAGTTATCATGACTTGTCCTGAAAAGTGAGGCTGAAATGAGTGTCAGAGGCAGAGCTCCTATCTCCCATGCAGGTACTTCCCAAAAAACCCTCGGCCAGATGAAACAACTTTTGAATCTAAGCAGTAAAGACCCAAATGACTGGGCTGTCTCCAAAGAAAAGAGAAGAAAAAAAGAAAAAAAAACGAAAAGAGCCCAAAATGAGTGCAGAGTTTACATAATCCTCTTCTTTGCCATAAAGCAACCCAAAAACCAGTCTGGTATTAGGAAGACATAT